ATGAAAACAATGGATGTTAAAATGTAGCTAAATAGAAGGAACTGTAGTTGGATACCTGGAATAGAAAACGGAAAGATATAACAGTTGTTTTAAAAACAAAATTTTTAGGTAAGGTTTTAACACAGATCAATGAGCAAAAATTATGGCAGAATGTGTTTACCAATTACAGATATCTTAAATAACTGTTATGGCTAGCAATTAAAATGGGAATCATGACTGGGTTTTGGTTTGAATATTTTTCATGTTTAAAATTAGTACATATTATGTTCTTATGATGCAGAGTTTCTCAAAATTAGTTCCATAGAACTCTAGTTGTCCTAGATGCTTGATGAAAAAAAGTACTTCCTAGATAGATAAATCTGGAAAAGGCTACATCCTTTGCATTCTGTTCATTATTTCCTAAAATAAGCTTTTGCATATTAAATTTTATTAAGACGAGACACCTGTTTAGAAAAGAAAGGTGTTCGATTTCGATTAACCTAGAATTTTCCCCGTTGGTTCGACTCTGATCTGATGGCTGTTGAAGACTTCTATGGCAATGCCCAGAGAGTATTGCACAGGTGCCCAGGGCGTGGGGGTGGGGTGGGGCTGGGGATGCTGGTGCAGTGTTACTTGAATGATATTCACTCTGATATTATAGATAAGGATTTGTTTTCACTAAGCAAGAAAGAAAAGCATCTACTTATGTTTCCCCTATCTTGTCTTTAGTATTAGCTTCATCCATTCACACTGACAATTGTGCTTTTCCTCGAAAGACTACTTATTGCACTTCTGTTGCCTCAACATCAACCCATGATTTGTCAAACTAAAAGCACAAGTAGAATTTCCTTTTGTAACAATGGGCTTGTCAGATAGTTAAATAAGACTACACTGAAGTCAGTGTCAGAAGAAGTAATTGGGTGGTGTTCAAACCTGATCTCTGCCTCTTACACTTTTGAATGCACCTGTCCAATTGGTGTTTTGTGACAGCGTTTGGTTGATGTTTACAATCATAAAGCTCCATGTTTGCAGATGCAGCTCTGGAGCCAGGGAAGTTTTTCCTCTAACTCCAGGCTGGATGGATTGCTTTCTTCTAAAACACAGCCACGTGCAGTGGCTCATGCCTGTAATCCCAGCACTTTGGGAGGCTGAGGTGGGTGAATCACTTGAGTTCAGGAATTCGAGACTAGCCTGGCCAACATGGTGAAACCCTGTCTCTACTAAAAATACAAAAATTAATCAGGCGTGGTGGCACATGCCTGTAAGCTACTCAGGAGGCTGAGGCAGGAGAATCGCTGGAACCTGGGAGGCAGAGGTTGCAGTGAGCCGAGATCGGTGCACCAGCCTGGATGATAGAGAGAGACGCCAACTCAGAACAAAAAAAGAAAAAAAAATCATTCTTTTCCTATAAGAATTTCTGAAATATAATATCACTGGCTTTCTTTTAAATATAATTAATGTGTGTGATAGTAAAATACATTCTTTCCTGAGATACTTTCTTAACCTAGACTTTTTCACTTGTTTTTGTAAAATATTTATTCCCGAGGAATTATATCCAGCTTCATCTTGTTTTCAGGGTACAAAATTTCTTCACATTTATTTTCATATTAAAGCCAAAACATCCAGTAAGGTCACTTTTGCTATTCTTTTCAATCTTAGTGGTGACAAGTTACGGTTCATATGTCTGTTTAGCTGTGAAGGTGGCAGAACAGGAATCTGAACCCAAATCTTTTGATTTTATAACCTTTGCTATATCCCAGGGCGGCCTGTACAAATAATATCTAATCGGTTGCTTAATGTCTTATGCTGTTTTAACTGCACAACATCATAGCAGCCATTTTGTTCATTTTTTTTTTAAGAAGTCTTCTGTGAATAATTTGGGTTATTTATTTTGTTTTGTTTCTTTAATTGCTTAGGGTTGGTGCAAATGTACAGTTTTCTTGTGAGGACAATTATGTGCTTCAGGGATCAAAAAGCATCACCTGTCAGAGAGTCACAGAGACACTGGCTGCTTGGAGTGACCACCGACCCATCTGCCGAGGTAAGGCACCTGTGATGGGCAAAGCCTGGATTAGCTCTTTCATTAGGCTTGGCATTTCTTTTTCTGAATACACAATTTAACCATGAAGCATTGTCTACAGGCAGAGCAGAACTTGGTAGTAATGTATGTTTTCATAGTGAGATAATAAAGAAATCTTTCCTTGGAATTTATTAAGAGGCAAGTATTTTCAAGAATATTTTTGTGTTTTACATTTCAGGACGGTTGGGAGCAAAGCCACACATGCTCAGTATAACTTGGTATATATCTAAACACATACATACGCACAGTGTGGATGTGTGTGAATATATGTTACACAATCGGACCTGCCAGAAATGTCTCTGTACACCCCGCACATATAAAAATGTTCACTTTCCCATTGCAGTAGTTTGAATTATTTAGGTGTCGATTATATGAGTGATAAAAGGAATTATTAGCCTGATTCCAAATCATCATTATATTAATAAGTGATCTTTAATCTCTAACATAGTTAGCAGAGTAAAATATTCATCATTATTGTCATCATTTTAAAATAAAATGTATGAAGTCTGCAAAGTTTAAATTATTTATTTATTACTCTTATGAAGTATATACAAATTCCTACCACAATTGCAGAAATCATATAGAAAACAGAAGAAAATGATTATGGTTGTTTTAAAATAAACAATAATAATAAAATTAAAGAAAAGCTAGGTTTGGTGGTTTCGTTTTGACTTTTGGTCATAAAAGGATTTCTGTAAACTGGTAGTTTTGGAAGGAAAAGCTGCAGTTTGATTAAAAAGAAAGGCTTCATATGTAAGAATAACTTTATAGTCTTTTTCATGTGAACAGACTTTTAAGCACTTTTATAACTTTTTTAGTTATAAAAAGGTATGAGAAGCACAATGTCATTGCAGCCTGTGAAATGAATTGCCAACCATGTCACTATCTTCACCTAAGCTAAGAATACTCTTTGGCAGCATTTGCTGTATTGTACCTGGTCCCTATAACCACTGGGGGTTGGTCACATGCAGAGGACGCAGCGATGCATCACCTGTCTGGACAGGAAGGGCAGCTGACAGCAAACCGTCACCTCTTAGGTGGAGACCCTTTACAGAGTGTCAGCAAGCTCTCATCAAGGAAATGCACATGGCCATCTCCTTCTTTTTATGACTACTTTGATTGTGCATTTTTCAATTCTAAAATACAGTCATTAAGCACTTCAAAGAACCACGCTAAAATTCATGTTTCCACTAGGGCTGGTGATGCACAAGCCTCCCGATTATACGTGATCACTGAGTTACATGGATTATATTTCCTTTAGGGGAAAGAACTTCCTTCAGTAGTTTTCTTTGTCTTATATACCAGAAATAGACTTCATTATTTTTAAAGTTCACGTTAGACAAATAGTAAAATGTGCCTTCTTTTGAATTTGTTACTTTAAAATCAATTGTTTAGGGTAACATAAATATTTGCCTTTTTATTGTTTGATTTTATATGTTAATCCATGGCATTTTCTCTCTCGGACCTGACTGTCATCTTAAACTCAAAGCACTTTCTCAGGATCCTCTCCCAAACATAATCACACAGCAGAGGTACTTATCTCTTAGGAAGCAGCTGCTCCATCCAGGCTGAAGGTGGAGGCCTTTCTCCCACGCTCCTCAACCCCCCAACTACTCACGCTTGGAGATAATTAGAGGAGGATTCTTTTTGGTTTCCTGTTCTCACAGGTTCAAATATCCCTCTTGATCATATTTTGGAAGAGAACACCTATTCCATAGGGTCTCTCTTGTTTGATGTGTTTGGTTTGGTTTTCTGGAAAAGTTACTAGGAATGGCCAAGACCCGCCTCTTCCTTCAACTCCACGGACAAACTCCTGGCTTTATTCATCTTCTCTTCTCACGGATGATTCCCTTGTTTTGCTTAAGTTAGATATACCTTTTAGATATACCTTGATCATCACTGAATAGTTCTTTAGTTCTTATTAAATTTATTAGAAGTAATCAGTAGAAATTAGTTATTGATTTAATCAATTTAAATTGATTACTTCTAATAAATTTAATAAGAGCTAGAAATGATCTGAAGTAATAAACATACTTAATTTTTCTGAAATAGTAACTTACAGAGCTGGAAACAATTCCTAAGAAAGTGTTTTCATTGTGGATGGGTTTTACGAGTTTGATTCAGTTAGACAAAGGCCACACCCTCACATATTTATCAGATAATCTTTTATCCATCTTGGACGCCTGCTGAGACAATGCTCCTGAGCTTTCTAGTTGCATCAGTTAGTAAGATTGATAAGAAACCCTCAATTTCTTTAAAAAGTATCCTTTCTGGGACGTAATGCTTGAATCCCGAACTTACAGTTGTTCTGAGGTTTTGGGGAATGGCTGTGCAGCCACACACTCGGCTTTTCCCGTCTAGAATGCTTGTGCAGATGTCACTTCCAAATTTCAGTTTCTTTGGCCATCTGGAGAGGCTGAGAAGTTTCAAAATCACCCAACCCAGATTCCTTTCTTCTTCTTCTTCTTTTTTTTTTTTTTTTGACAGTTCTCCCCTCAGTTCATGTCTTTCCTGTCATGTTTTAATGTAAGCAGCAAGCAGAAATCAAGTGGCCTCTTCAACACATGGCCTGGAAATCTCCTGAGCCGTCCCTCTGTTTGTCACTGAACGCCCTGCTTCCCACCTAATCACGGAAGCACATCTGCTAAGCTTCTGCCACCTCTTTCAGTTTCCAGTAACGTCCCTCACTCTTCCCGCATCCCTCAAAGAGTATCTTTACAAGATAGATCTCCACTGGCAGTCTGTTGGAGGAAACTGAGGCTTTCTCTATCACGCTCCCCAAAACTCTTGCCCCTCTGACCCACTACCTGGTTCCAAAGCTGTGCCCACATTTGCTTCAGCAACACCCCATGTCCAAGCACCTGACTCTGTGAGCAAAAGTTCATGCAGAGAAGGAAATCCACTAGGATGGAGACAAATGTGTGGGCTTAGATCGGCAAACTGGCTCACAGGTTTGGCAGGGCTGTCTTTGCATCTGAATTCCGAAGACAGGCTGTCAGGAAGCAAAGACAGGGGGCTAGGCTCCCTGGCGACAGGTCAAAGCTCTGTCCACAGGCAGGAGTCTCTCTGTAAGGGAAATTTTAAGCCCTCTTTGAAGACTTCCCAACTGATTACTTAAAGGCCAGACAGAATAATCTCCTTAACTTAAGGTCAATTGATAAGAGATGATAATCATGCCTCCAGAATCCCTTCACAGGAGCACCTAAAGTTAGTAACCGGGAAAAGGTATGTCTTTATTTCCCAAAATAAGTATGTGATTTTGAAATATTTAGTCACCAGACTAAAAAGGTAAAGAGAAACAGGTGAATTTAATTGTAATAACATTTTATTTAACCCCAGTACTCCCAAATATTATCATGTGAACATACAGTCAATACAAACGTGACAATGAGATGTTTTATATATTTTCTTTTTCTTTCCATACTATGTTTTGGAAATCCAGTGTGCATTTTATACTTAGAGCATAGCTCATCTCACACCAGCCATATTTCAGGTGTTCAGCACAAGTCTAGACATTTACAGTCATGATTTTCTTCATCACTATTGAGAGCCATTAACACACTTGTAGTTATGAAGAGGAGAAATGAGCCCAGTGAGTTGTGTCTCATTTCCTGGCTGGCGCCCCTCTGTAGAACACTCTTTCTTCAGTTAAAACCCGTAAGTTCTGCAACCTCTGCCACCCAGATTCTAGCAATTATCTTGTCTCAGCCCCCCCAAGTAGCTGGGATTACAGGTACCTGCCACTGGGCCTGGCTAATTTTTGTATTTTTAGTACAGATGGGATTTCACCATCTTTGCCAGGCTGGTCTTGAACTTCTGACCTCGTGATCCACCTGCCTCAGCCTCCCAAAGTGCTGGGATTACAGGCATGAGCCACTGTACCCAGCTACCATTCACTCTCTTAAGTAGCTTCTCAGTTTTCTTCCAATAACTGATGTATCCTTTAGAGAAAAGCTGAAAAACATTTATAAAAGTGGAGCTTTTATTTCTATGAAAAGATAGCGTTAGATATGTAAAATGTCCAGGAAAATGGACAAATGCTACCTAAAACAGACTATAGGAATCTTTCTTTGCTATTGACAGTTTCCATACAGCAAGGGCCATTTTCCAAGTTCATTTGTCACTCTGTCATTACCATAAAAAATAGTATCTAAAAACACAGCATCGACTGGATACAGTGGCTCACACCTGTAATCCCAGCACTTTGGGAGGCCACGGCAGGCAGATCACATGAGGTCAGGAGTTTAAGACCAGCCTGGCCAACATAGTGAAACTCCATTTCTACTAAAAATACAAAAATTAGCTGGATGTGCTGGTGCACGACTGTAATCCCAACTACTTGGGAGGCTGAGGCGGGAGAATCACTTGAACCCAGAAGGTGGGGGTTGCAGTGAGCAGAGATTGCGCCACCGTACTACTGTAGCCTGGGGTCAAGAGCGAAACTCCATCTCAAAAAAAAACCAAAAAGACAGCATCATAGTTTTAGATTTTTCCTGATTCATTCTTAGCCTCTAAAGGAGGCCTAATAATGATCATTTCTGCCACGTATTCTAAACTCAACCAACTGTCAAATACAATAAAATGCCCCTGGTTTGAACATCCTGCCCGTTCTGAGCATAAAACTCTTCCAGCGAGGTGAGTGAAGAAAGGACTGACTCTCAAGGTTACTTTCTCATGAAGGGTCTCTAACTCTGAAGTAATTATCATGCCTTCTCTGGAGCAGGAATATCTGATGGAAGCATTTGATAAATTGCAGTGAGTCAGAAGTGATCCTTCCATCTGGAGGCTGGTGTGGTTAGCCAATGCTTGCATTAGCTAATTAGCTCTGAGAAGTGGGGGAACATTACCTTTTCTTCCTGTTACCAAACAGATGAATGGTTGTCATAGCTCAGTAATTATACAAGTGATTTTGTTTGAAATTACGCTTACTTCATTTAGGAATATGAAAACAACCATTATGATTTTTTGCAGGGTAAAACATTATGAGCTGTTTAAAACTGTATGAGTATCTTTAACTGGCAGTAGATTTTTTAAATAAGCAAACATAATGAAGACAAGAGTATATCATTCTATTTTTTGAAGTAAAATGTTCAGGCTGGTACTTCATTCCACCAGTTTTTAGGGGCAATTTATGTAGAGAACTTCCTTTAATGCTAATACACTTTGATCTGTAGAATTAATATTTTGAGTTGCTCCCTGAGTTGAAAACCTCTCTAAGAAAAATAAAGTATTCTTGGCTGCTGGAACTGTGGTTATATGGAAGCTAATTGGAGCCAGCCAGAGTCAGGGAATAACATTATTATTACCTTAGAATTTCAGATTAGTTTAGCTAAAAATTATTCTTAATTTATGAACTCATCATTTACCAAAAACTTTTACAGCTTTTTGTTTTCTGTTCATGTTTTCTGTGCATGTAGAAATGACCTTTTAAAGAGTAGTAAAAAGATCATTTATCCCAAAAGATGACTCTTCATTCTACCAGGTGACAGACCCAGTGTGAGTGTCAGGAGAATATTTTGTGTACTGATTATTTGATCAGGTGGTCACTATCTCGGAAATTTAGAGAGACAAACACAGGGTTAACTTGTTAATTCTTGTGAATTTGGAGAAATTTCTGTTGTTATTTCCAGACTCCTGAAGCTGTATACTTTTTATCTGAAGGTCACCTGGGAGAAAATATATTTTTCTCCTTATTATTTTTACTAAGTTATTGGCAATAATATAGTTTTGTATCTTATACTACTCTCATATTCTATTGACATAAAATTACCTGAAAGCTAACCTTAAGTTGGTGCTAACTACATTCGTAGAGCATGCCAGGGGTGCTTCTCTCTTAGGATTCTTGCATTAGGTTTTCCCTCTCTAGAGCATCCATCCTCTCCTAGATATCCATGTGACTGTCCATTTATGCCTCCCATCAAGTCATCTGAACCCACATCCTCTTACACAGCAAGCCTTTTCCTCACTTTACAAACCTTTTCTGCCTTTCTTCAAACCTGTTTTCTCCTTCTTATATTATATGTCCATATGTTTCTTGTGTTTCTTTGTTAATTTCCTGATGAAGACAAGAAACTTAGTTTTATTCTCTCTCCCCTGTACCCTCAATATTCAACTCATAATGAGTACTGCATATATGCTTCTTCTTATTCTTTTTTTTTTTTTTTTTTTTTAAGACAGAGTCTCCCTCTGTCACCCAGGCTAGAATATAGCGGCAATCTTGGTTCACTACAACCTCCGCCTCCCGGGCTCTAGCGTTTCTTCTGTCTCAGCCTCTGGAGTAGCTGGGATTACAGGCACCTGCCACCATGCCCAGCTAAATTTTGTATTTTTAGTAGAGATGAGGTTTCACTGTGTTGGCCAGGCTGGTCTCAAACTCCCGATCTCAGGTAATCCACCCGCCTCAGCCTCCCAAAGTGTTGGGATTACAGGCATGAGCCACCTTACCCAGCCATGCTGTAATTGTCAGGCCATGTGCTAAATGCTTTATTGGTCTTTTTTTTTTTTTTGAGACAGGGTCTTGCTCTGTCGCCTAGGCTAGAGTGGTACAGTGGAAGGATCTCGGCTGACTGCAACCTCTGCTTTCCAGGTTTAAGCAATTCTCCTGCCTCAGCCTCCTGAGTAGCTGGGAATACAGGAGCCCACCACCGCACCTGGCTAATTTTTGTAGAGACAGGGTTTCGCCATCTTGGCCAGGCTGGTGTTGAACTCATGACCTGATGATCCACCCGCCTCGGCCTCCCAAAGTGCTGGTATTACAGGCGTGAGCCACCACGTCCAGCTATTGTCTTCTTTTATTCAATCCTCAGAACAATCATAAGTGGAGTTATGACTATGATTCTAATTAAATAAGCTGAGTGGCTTAAAATTAGAAAGCTGTTGAGACAGCTACTGACAACCTAAGCCAGGCCCAGAACACAGGTGTGGTGAATGAAAGGAAGTTCTTAGCCTCTGTGACATATTATCTTCATTATGGTTGACAATCTGGACATAAAATTTATGCTTGCTAAAAATGTTTTCCCCTAAAAACACAGGAGAAATAGACTATTCAATATAATTATTAATTTGCTTTTAAAAAAACTTCTAATGTGAATCCTGAAATCTCACTAATTTAAATTTAATCAATTGAATGTTTCTTCTTTCAAGTAATTTGATTGAGAAGTTACTATAGAACTATAAGATTTCCAGGAACTGCATTTTAATAAACAGATAAGTTATTACTTTATATTAAGTAAGATGAATTGCGTGAAACAAACCTATTTTATACTTAATAAATATCCATTGATTAAGTGGATAAATGACATGCACTGGCATCCAAAATGGGTTAGTTTCCTTCTCCCTTTCCACTTTCCTTCCTGACATATTATATTTCCAATTTATCATTCTGTGAATTCTGGTTTTACTGGGGAGACAGTAACCATGTAAGTGAAATTTGAGCTTACACGTTTGGAACCTGTCAGGAAACTGACATCAGGTGTACATTAGGTCACAGTTATTATCCAGGCACATTTATCAAGCATGTCAGCGAATTTTACTCTCTATTAGATGTTATATTTCCAAGAGACAAGGCCTTTGCAAGAGTAGAAGGAGGCATTCTACTATAATTTGTATTGTAGTTACTTAATTATGCTGCTTAATCACATCGTTTGTTGACTAATTGAATGCCTGTTTAGTACAGAAGCTAAGGGAAGGCAGGAAGTTTCCCTGCCTCCAAGGATGCTTTGAAATTGTCCAGTCACAGTCAGGACAGTTTCCCTGGGCTGTCTCCTGTGAGAGGAGCTGCCCGATCTGTTCTTTGCTTGAAGTGAAAAACCAGCAGAGTCCATGGGTGAGGAGAGAGGCAGGTGATAAACCTTCAGATGTCTAAGTTTCTGGGTCAGATCGTATGGCATCGTTTCATGAATTCCCAGAATATAGGATAAATTCCTATTCAAATAGAGCCCCCAACAGGTGACAAATCAACACTGATATGGTTTTTAGATAAGATGATGGCGGCCATTTGCTTCCTTTGCAAGGGCCTGCGTGCATTGCTGAGATTTTTTCGACACCCATTTATTCTTCCTGGCTTGTACGCTGCTGTGCCCTTGCCCATCTAACCAGAGGATCTCTAAGGGAGGACAGCAGATGGCCCCAATAGGTCATCCCCAAAGCTCTCTGACCAAGGACACTCACTCATTGGATCTGCTCAGTACAAAGCTCAGACCTATGTCATCTCTTCTTTCTCAGCCTGTTCCATTTTCTTCTCTAGCTCTTCCTGCTTTTTTTTCCAAATACCAAATTTTTTAAAGTTTAACATGTGGTAGTCATGAAAAATCATACCCTCTGGTGCTGGAAGCTGACGGCGGAGGAAGATGTGGGTGTGCTACATGCAGGACTGTATGTTGGCTCTTCTCTCTCCACTATGAAATTCAGAGAAATTAATGTAACTTTTCCTGGCCCAGGTAATAAGGTTAGCCACAGGATACCTAGAGGACAACAGACACTCTGTTTGCAACCATGTGGACATCAGCTGGTGGGAATCACAGTAGCTCAAACCACAGGATGGTTGTTTAATAGACTCTACACATGCATGGTTGAACTTGCAGTAGTTGCCAGTTGAAAAACTGAGAGTTATTCTGGCTAGCAGAAAACCCCAGATGCAAGGAAGCAGTAAGTAAGTGAATCCTAACAAGCAGGATAAGGGGCACATCATCAGATGGTAAAGAAACAGATGATTAGGTTGGCGATTTAGAAAGGCAAAGACTGAGGAGGTAGCACAAGCTTTCCACAATGTCCTAAGAAGGAGGGAGGGTTAGAATTACATAATTACAGTTAGATTCTGTGACTTACGGCTGTTACTCCTATTAAGAAGCTACACCAATATTTATTGAGTAAACTATCAAATGCCAAAAATTGTTCTAATTGCCAATGTTAGACAAGTGAACAAATCAGACACAAATCTCTGGCCTGAATATTCCCAATTTTCATTTCAGATGGCCATTTTTGATGGCCTAATAAAAAATGTAGGCAAAAATAAACAATTTGTTATTAAAATATGTTGCCAAGATGGAGAGATTTTTTAAAAAATTTTAAAAAGAAACATTATGGGTTAATTTGAAAACTTTTGGTAAAGAATGTCTCTGGAGGAACTGCATCCATGACTTGTTTTCTGTGAAACTCAGTACTTCGTAGACTTGAAAATGTGGTGGATGGGCTGGTTTCCTACGCATATTTTACTAAAAGTTACTTCACAAATAAAACATAATGCATGAGATGCATTTCATGAAATGCTGGTAGCCAATTTTAATAAGTCAAATGAGGGGCCAGCTTCAAAGCAGCCACCTAGGACACAAAGCCATGGGCGGGGCCAGCTTTAGAGACACTTCCAGAGGGAACATCTGGGTCAATGGCAGGCCGAGTCCACATTCTCGGTGGGATTCTGACAAATGACTTTTCCTCTGCAAATATTTTTCAAATGCACTTTATTAAGAGCTTGAAATGAATACTGACAATGGCAATATGATTACACTGATTCACAATTAAATCAACAAGTATTTATAAACACTACATGATGTTTACAATAGTCATTAATTATGAAGTGTTACAAAGTAGGAAAATGTAACATAAAGGTACAACTCGGATTTCATTATCAGTTTTTTTCTAAGATTTTCTAATTGGATAATGTTAATATTAGAGGGCTTTAAGAAGATTTCACATCTAAAGTTTTTGATCCTCTCTGACAACAGTGCATTAGAAACAGACTTATTAGAGACTGAGATATTAGCATATAGGAGGGTCCATGTTTTCATTCAGTCCTTTGTCCAGTGACCTTTAGACCAATGAGTCACCTACTGAGTTTTGAAAACCCAGTTATGTTTTACCTATTTTTTTTTTTTGATTTGGACAGTAAATGCCAATATATTAAAAGTTAATTTTAACATACTTATCAATGTACAATAGGCCAATTTTAGCTAATTATTTCCATAGTAAGTAGGAAGCAACTGAACAGTTGTCTCAAGTCATGCTGCCCCATGTTCACATGTCAGGGACTACAAGCATCGTATACAGTGCTGAGGACGTAAATGCAGAAAGTGTGCTATTCCTAAGGTCAGGGAATGCATAACCTTTTAGGAGAGAGGTCTCAGATGAATAGTCATGGTAGATTAAAGAAGTATTATGAGGAATAGGCATAATTTATTATTATTATATTGGCATAAATGGAAGAGAGGCATGTCTAGTTCTGGAGGCCCTTTGGAAAACCTGGGTTCTGTGGTAGCTTCTCTCCCACTCACAAAGTAGCCCTTGTAAAGTCACAAGTCCTGTTCTGCTGAGTTTTCTAGCCGAGTCTCCTAGAATAATAACTGACCTGAACAAAGGGTTAAGCCCAAGGGAGAAAAAAGAAAGGATGAGCTATGATGAAAATTAATCCTTCCTATGAAATGTTTTCATCAGTGTGTGTGATAGGATGTCTTAGGAAAATGAAGCAGAAGAAGTTCTCTTACATTAATTTCTTCTTGTAAAATTAGTTTTCTTCTGCTTCTTTCTCAAAACCAGTTTAAATTACTGTTAAAACCAGAGTCTATGCTGACATTATGTTTCTAAAATATGTCTACTGATTTGAAAAAAGGCTTTTTTCTTAAAGTGGAGGTCTATTAAATTATTTTTGTATTCCAGACTAAATTGTATATATTGGATTATGCACTTTCTATGCTTCGCTTAGTCTTTCATTTCAAGTTTTAGGTATTTTCTTTATTTTTAAAGTCACCATTCCTATTTTCTTTCTTAAAACTTGCAATAACATTTTAAGTTCCTTTATGCATTGTGCTGTAAATAAATTTTATAGTTTATTGTAGAATAGGAACTAAAGCTCGAAAGTGACTTTGGAGATCATCTGCTCCAGAATCCTCTTTTAAAGTTGAAAACACACCATTTATTCGAGGTCACAAAGTGTAAGACGTAGCTGAGATGGTAACTCTGGTTGAGTTCCACTGGACACTGTGTTTTGCCCTCTATCTTACTGCAGTCATGCACAATTAGGTGTGTATGGAGACTCTGAACAACGAGATTTTCATGAAGATTCTCATTGAGTCACAATGGGATTTGAAATGCACTGCTTTGGTACTGACAATACTCATGGTGCTATCATCTGTTAGCTCCTTTGGTGAGTAGAAAGGCCTTTGGAAATTGTACAGTGGTCCAGCATAACCCTGCAGATACCAAAGGTATTGGCGGCTGAGCAACCCACTTGCTCATTGGAGTCCATGTACCAATTGGAATCCATGCACCATTTTTTTACGATTATAAGATAATAGCTATCTTGAAATTTCCCATGAATGTTATGTCTTTACCATACTGACAAAATGATGTAGAAAATAACCTTGTTTCTCTGTGTTTCCAGCTAGAACATGTGGCTCCAATCTGCGTGGGCCCAGTGGCGTCATTACCTCCCCTAATTATCCAGTTCAGTATGAAGATAATGCACACTGTGTGTGGGTCATCACCACCACCGACCCCGACAAGGTAAGGCTCCACCTCCAACCCCTGTGGTTCATACATGACACACTCTGACAGAATCTACTTTTGAAGCAAACACCCCGGCAAATGCTGTCCATCCTTACACTTCAGTGTTGGAATTTAAAAGCTTCTGCCGCCTTATGTGTCTAGATACCACATTCACTCCAGACAGCCTGAGATTCAGATACAAAGTGAATATTCTCAGTGTGGCCCCATTTACTGTTTCTGCAGCTAAAGTCTATGTTCCTCCTTCACATTTCATAGTACTCTCCCTCATGTCTTATAAGACTCAAGTCTTATCCACTATATCACAAGCTTTCTTAAACACCACAGTATTTATGCATAGTACGACTAAGTGTTGGAAATGCTCCTACTATACTCAGACACAAAAATACTGCGTTTTGGCCGGGCACAGTGGCTCATGTCTGTAATCCCAGCACTTTGGGAGGTTGAAGTGGGTAGATCACTTGAGGGTACTAATTCAAAAACTAGTCTGGTCAACATGGTGAAACCCCATCTCTACAAAAAAAAAAAAGCAAAAAAATTAGCCAGGTGCCATGGCAGGCCCCACTATTTGCCAATCCCAACTACTCTGGAGCCTGAGGCAAGGGAATTGATTGAACCGGGGAGGCGGAGCTTGAAGTGAACCAAGATCCTGTCACTGCACTCCAGCCTGTGTGACAGAGCAAGACTTGAGAGCAAAAAAAGACAGAAAATAATATTGTCTTTTTTTCTACAGTTCATGTGTTTCTTCTCATGAGCTATATACGTTTTTCAAGAATTAAACATCTGAGCTCCTTTTCCTGTTTCTTATCTTAAATACTTTGTATAGAAGATATATTTTCCTTCAGGGTAGTAAAAGAGAACAATACTATGTTATTTTTCTGTAAGTCTGCATATATAGGTTGCAATTATGTTACTACATTTTAAATCTTAGGATAAGAAATTGTATCCATAATCATGTTTCATTGGCTAGCTAATGAATTTTCTTTAACTCCTTTTAAGTTCAATATAGATGCTTGCCAGTGGGAAGAGACAATAAGGTAGATCATCTTCATATTGATCTGATTTAAAAAAACTGTCAGGAAATTATTATAGGTATGAATTTCACTTGAAATACATAATTTTAAAATAATTATA